CAGAAGAGATTTTGCTGCCAAGTGCATCTATGAGGCCAGCAGGTCCTGACAGGGCCCGCATGGGACATGGGTGTTGTTCCAGGGACACAGGGTGGTGACTAGGACACGTCAGCCCTCCCCCCCCGTAACTCACCACCCCAGCAGGGAAAGGCAAGGTCCATGTGAGACCACAGCTGAGAGGAGGCCACTGCCCAGGGCCACGTCCACTCATGGCAAAGTCCCACAGGGGCGGGGCTGGAGCCTCACACCCCACAGGGTGACCCCATGAGCCCCACAACAATGTCTCCCTAATGGGAGACGGAAGCTTTCCCTGAGGTCAGGACCCCAACAGGATGTCCACAGCCGCACAGCCACGTCTGCTGGGGACGGAAAGGACCCACAGGTGACATTAGAGTGACGCTGCCAGTGGTAGCAGATGTGGGGTGACACAGAACCCCGGAAGGCCAGTGGGAGGCCAGAGACGGGGTCAGTGTGGGGAGGGCAGGTCACGCCCGTGTCGAGTGTGATCAAGGGTCAGTCACGGTTTGGCACAGTTTACCCGGTTGATTGCCATCTTATAAATTTTACACGTTGCATTATTACAGTTCAGGATTCTGTCCCTCTTCTTGCATTTTCTGTGTACATTGTCATGTCAGCTGTGAGCACAGTGTTTTATTTCTCTGTCCCTGTCCTCTGTCCTTGGTTGTTTTGTTTATTTGACTCATCATCAGATGGTTCTGACTTTAAAATTCCGGACTATAGCAATTTCGTCCCGTTCCAGTTTCAACGTTCTGTTTTCTCAACCTCCGGGGAGATTCTCCATATTGGTGTTGTGTGTGTTCCATGCACCAAAGTGAGGAACTCCGTGTTTGTTCTTTTTTTTCCTATAATAAGTTTGTGTTTACTGCTACAGTCATTATAATGTTGTCTTAGCCTTTTTGTGGAAAAACGTAGGCCAGACGGTCACCATCACTGTCCCCGTCAGGCCTTGACACACTCAGTGTCTCGCTGCCCGAGATACTCTTACAGCATCATGAGGAAATCCAGGTCCTGGTGTCCCTGAGCCCTGAGTCCTGACCACACGCTGAGGTCCAGCGCCTCCTGCCGGCCCTGGGTGTGCCCAGCCCTGCCCCTGTTTGTTTTCTTCTGGCCCCCACCTCTCTGCCCCCACTGTGAGTCTTGCACAGTGATACAGGCCCTGTCTCCAGGTCTGGGGCTGCTCAGTGCCGAGTCAACCTCGCTCCCGGCGTTGTCCTTGGTGATGCTGAGCTGCGAGTTGAGAGCCGGGTTGTAGCTGGGCTTCCACGTTCATACACCCCCGGCCACTCCAGCCCCTTTGCGGGAGCCTGGCGGGCCCAGCTCACGGCGTAGCCGGTCAGAGAGAAGCCGGACACAGACAGGGGATCCAGAGGGTCTGTGCGAGTCACCAGCCCAGGCCCTGACTCCTGTCGCTGGTCCCGGGACTGCACACCTGTGACAGAGAGACGCCGCGGGGAGGCGAGAGTGGACACAGGCCGGCGACTCAGCTGCCCCCTGTGACACGCACCCCTGGGAGCCGCCGCCAGGAGCGGGAAGAACCACCAGGGGCCCATCTTCCCGCAGAGCCGCCCTGGTGTCCAGACTCGGCCGGGGAGCCTGCTCTGAGTGAGGCCTGCTCCTGCAAGTCTGTGGTCCTGGGGCCCTTTGCATGTGAGAGGCAGCGGCTATAGGAGAGAATGAGCCGCCCGGGCTCCCTGGGAAGAGGACCTGACTGTGCTCTCACCTGGCCTACCTGGCCAGACTGGACCCCGTACGTCCGGACACCCCTGGGGCCAGTGTGGCCTTGGGGTGAGCTCTCAGCCCAGAGCAGGACCCCAGTGTGGCCCCAGCACTCTCGACGGCAGAACCCACCTCTTGTGCAGACTGCCTGTCCTGGGAATTTGTGAAGTAG